ATTTTCACCAAAATTTCCCCAAATTTCCACCCCAAACTCCCTAATTTCCCCAAATTCCCACCCCAAACCCCCAAATTTTCACCAAAATTTCTGCAAATTTCCACTCCAAACCCCCAAATTTCCCCAAATTTCCACTCCAAACCCCCAATTTTTCACCGAAATTTCTGCAAATTTCCACTCCAAACCCCCAAATTTCCACTCCAAACCCCCAAATTTTGCCTCCAAATCCCCAAATTTTGCCCCCAAACCCCCAAATTTCCACTCCAAACCCCCAAATTTCCCCAAATTCCCACCCCAAACCCCCAAATTTTCACCCAAATTTCCCCAAATTTCCACTCCAAACCCCCAAATTTCCCCAAATTCCCACCCCAAACCCCCAAATTTTCACCCAAATTTCCCCAAATTTCCAACCCCCAAATTTTCACCCAAATTTTCCCCAAATTTCCCCCCAAACCCCCAAATTTCCCCAAATTCCCACCCCAAACCCCCAAATTTTCACCCAAATTTCCCCAAATTTCCACTCCAAACCCCCAAATTTCCCCAAATTCCCACCCCAAACCCCCAAATTTTCACCAAAATTTCCCCAAATTTCCACTCCAACCCCCAAATTTCCCCAAATTCCCACCCCAAACCCCCAGATTTTCACCCAAATTTCCCTGAATTTTCACTCAGATTCCCCCAAATTTCCACCCAAATTCCCCCAAATTTCCCCCCCAAACCCCCGAATTTCCCCGAATTCCCCGAATTTCCCCACTTTCCCAGCCTGCACCCCGGGCTGCCGCTGCTGGCCACGGCCTCGGGCCAGCGCCTGTTCGCGGCGCCGTGGGACAGCGACGGGGACAGCGAGGGGACAGAGGAGGGGCCGGCCCCGGGGGGGGACATCCGGCTGCAGCTCTGGTGGTGGGGACCCGAGGACAGCGGGGACGGCGGCTGGGACACCCCCGGGGACACCGGGGACATCACGGACAGCGGCTGGGACACCCCCGGGGACAGCAGGACCGGCCATTGTCACCACCCTGGGGACACCGAGTGTCACCTCCCTGGGGACACCGCAACTGGCCATTGTCACCGCCCTGGGGACACCGAGTGTCACCTCCCTGGGGACACCAAGACTGACAACTGTCACATCCCTGGGGACACCGAGTGTCACCTCCCTGGGGACACCGCAACTGGCAATTGTCACCACCCTGGGGACACCGAGTGTCACATCCCTGGGGACACCGGGATTGGAGATTGTCACATCCGTGGGGACACTGAGTGTCATTTCTCTGGGAACACCGAGACTGGCAATTGTCATCACCCCGGGGACAACGAGTGTCACCTCCCTGGGGACATCGGGACCACTGAGTGTCACCTGCCTGGGGACACTGTGAACCACTGAGTGTCACCCCCCCTGGGGACACCTGGACCAGCCATTGTCACCTCCCTGGGGGACACTGTGACCACTGAGTGTCACCTCCCTGGGGACACCAGGACTGGCAATTGTCACCTCCCTGGGGACAAGGAGTGTCACCTCCCTGGGGACACCAGGACTGGCAATTGCCACATCCCTGAGGACAAGGAGTGTCACCTCTCTGGGGACCCTCAGGGACACTGAGTGTCACCCCCCCTGGGGATACTGGGACTGGAGATTGTCACCCCCTTGGGGACGCCGACTGTCACCCATCCCAGGGACGGTGACTGCCACCCTTGGGGACCCCTGGAGGGTTACAGCCCCCCTAGGGACCCCAAATGTCACCCCCAGGCCTCGGTTGTACTAAAGGCGTTGTAGTGACTGTCAGCCTTGGGGCCCATGGAGGGTTACAGCCCCCCTGGGGACCCCAAATGTCACCCCCAGGCCTCGGTTGTACTAAAGGCGTTGTGACTGTCACCCTCTGTCACCCCTGTGGGCTGTCACGGGGGGTGTGGCCAGATCTGCCCTGCCCCCAAAACCCCCCCAGGAACCCCAAAATCTGCCCCACCCCCTCGGTGGGCCCCACCCTGCAATTCCGGTGTTGCCCCTTTAAGAGCCCCCCCCCAAAAAAGGGGTGGGGCCTGTTCCTAAGCAGCTTCACCGTCACCATGGCAACGGTGGGGTTGTGTTGTCACCATGGGAATAATGTAGCACTGCTGGCCACGCCCCCACCGCAGGCCACGCCCACAGTGTGGCCAGCTCTGTGGGTGTGACCAAATTACCTTTTGGGCACGCCCCTTCCTAATGACCACGCCCCCTTTTATGCCGGCCCATGCTAATTGCCGATAAGACACGCCCCCAAAGCCACACCCACTTCAGGCCACGCCTCCTTTTAAAGCCACACCCACCTTTCCACGCCCCACCTCTCTTGCTTCTCACAAACCACGCCCCACGACCACACCCATCAGACCTTGCCTCTCACAAACCACGACCACACCCATCAGACCACGCCCCTTCATTAACTCCACGCCCACCCCCTTCACTACCCAGCCACGCCCACCGACGAGGCCCCTCCCCTGCTCCAAACCCCGCCTTTTACCCAGGCCACGCCCCCTTGGGCCACGCCCCTCGGAGGCCCCGCCCCGCAGCCGGCGCGGTCGCAGCCGGGGCGGCCCCGCGGGGACCCGGGTTCGAGTCCGGGCCGGGCCGGGGGTCGGGGCCG